GAGAGAGAGAGAGAAGAGAGAAGATGTGATTTATTTGGAACGAGGCGCCATTGCATGCAATGAGATCTATAAACTCAAAAGCTCACTTACATCGTGACAGTCGAAGGGCCATATCTGGCGATCGCAGAACAGCCAGACGGCGTTTACCGCGTAAAAGGTAATGTCTCGGCTCCCCATGTCATTGCTTTATCGAAAAGCTAAAGTCGGGGGTAGAGTAGGAACCTGAAAAAGGGAGACCGCGCTTGATTTTGAATTTACCTCCATGGCCTCCTCGATCGCGATCTTGCCCCGCGGCTATTCTACTAGTGTAAACGGGTCAATGTTAGTTCGTCCCTCTCACTCTCTCACGCTCTCTATCCCAGCCCACTTAACCCGGGGTGTCGACACCGTCTCTCCTCTTCAGCCCTCTCTCCCCCACCCATCCCGCTGGGGGGCGTGGCCGAGTGGTAAGCACTCCAGGAGTCGAGATTACAGCTCTGCACGGTTCGGATCCTCTCCAGCGACAAGGAGTTTTGCTTTTTGCCAGAAACGGACTCTGTACCCGCCATCCCTGCTCTCCCCAGCGTTGTCCCAAGGAATTAAGGCCGATCCAATACGGAACACTCGAATTCTGATCCATACCCCAGCCCTGGAACCAGATGTTGTAGCCGATTTCCTCGTCGGTTTCCTCCCGAAAGATACTTTTTAGGGTTTTTTGACGCGTCTCCTTTCTCGGCTTTCTCTTTCTCTCCCCTCTCTCCCTCCCCTCTCTCTCTCTCTCTCTCTACCTTCTCTATCCCTCTCTCATAATCTCTCAAGCTTCTTGTGGCAGCCGCTTCCTCAGCCTTCGGTTCCTTTTGTGGATCTCCGCCAGTTTGATAACTCGAAGAATCGATAGACTCAGTAGTCTTACCATATTTTAGCAAAAGACTATTACGAGGGGGCTGATTTTTTTTCCATTTTCACGAAATGTTTTTGCATTTACCAGGTACTTTGGGGGCAGGACCGAATTTCGTTGCTCTTACCACGCAAAGGCGTTTGAACAAAACCTCATTTTCTAATTTTCGCACCTTTCCTGGCGCCCGGGGGTGGTTTTGAAAGCCATTTGAGGAAACACAGCTTGGTGGGGCTGAGGCCGGTTAAATTAGGTTTTTGAAGAAAAATGTGTAAATTTTATATAAAAATGATGTAGAGTAGAGCTAAGACACCCTATATTTTGTAAGTGTGAACAATCATCACATCCCCTTTATTCATTTAGTTAGCAGTCTTCTCATCCTCCTCAATCCCGTTTCTGGAAGTTCTGCATCTGGTAGTTGGAGATGCGCCGAATCGCTGTCGAAGCCGGTTAAAGCTGAAATCTTCGTTTTGGTTTTTACGGTTGAAAGCAAAAATCAAGCTAGATTGAGCTCTTTAGCTTCAAATAAATGCTTACCTCCCATACCAGAAACACAAGATGTAGCCAGAATAAATGGCGCTCAATGGGCAACGGCCTCGGTGTCCGAGATCAGCAGCAAGAACAGGCTTAGCGGAAGCTGCACCAGCAGCAGGCTGATCCAAAAGCCGGAAAGGGCCGGAATCTGAAACCCGTTTTTAAATTATCAAGCCCGAAATACCTTCTCCCCGAGATTCCCGTATGTGTCCAAAGCAGCAGCCGTACACATTCGACGGTACAGTAGACGATCAAAACCGACACGAGCAGTACCTGATATGTCACCGAGAGCAGGGAGTACTACAAATGAAATTATGGTTCTTTGTCGTATTTTCTTAGAGTCCAATTATCCAAATATAAATAGCGGAAGAGTTTATAAATTATTTTTACTATTCCGAAGCGTAAAAAATTTCCGCATTTTTTATTAAAAAAAATCGTTTTCGACCAAAAAGGGCCTTTTGGGACCAGGAATTCGACTTTTTAAATTGCTTTGATATTTTTACATAGTTTTCCTAGCTTTATCAACTATAATTTTCTTGGCGCGTCCGTCTGTCCGTCTGTCATTGTCCAGATTCAACTCGAGAGGAAAGGAGCTGGGCTTAGCTCTCTTCAGTTCGGATAGGCGTGGTCGAAACCCCAAACTTATAAAAAATTATGAAAAACTTTTTGTTTAAATTATTAAAATTAACCTGAAGTTTTCCTTGTAGTAAAGGAATTGGGGACGGAGGTCAGGGTGATTTTGGACATAGTGAGCCAGGTGGCGCGCGTTTCGTGGATAATTTTTCACGGGAATTTCATTTCTTTCTCTCAATCCATCCAGTCGGTCCTTATTTTTGTTTTTTAGGGGATTTCGGCTAGGGGTATCAAGCCATCAGGAAGGTATTTAGGTAGTTTTGAACGGGATTTCGGCTTTCGGTATTGATGGAGGTGGGAAAGGATGTGGTGGAGTGGGACATGCCGAATTGCGAGGCCAGATGGTTGCAGTCTTGAAGCGACTGCCAACCATCTGGTTAATTATATTATGCTAGAAACACTATTAAAAGACTTCCTATGAAGCTACTAAGCAATTCTAGCCTTATACCAAAAAAATCCCCCCCCCCGATAATGCGAAAAGAACCGAAAGCATTAATGTTTATTTGAAACTATTTACCTTTAAAAGCAGGCAAGAGACCTATAGATGAGTAGAATCGTTATAAATCACGTTGAAATGGAAAAAGGCTTGCACGGGAGACTCGTCAGCACTTCCCGTCGAGAATAAAAGCTCGCGAAACATACTTACCATTTTTAGGGCCAATTTGACGAGAGGTAATGATGTTTTGTTTATCATTATCCATTCCTAAAAAGAATATAACTAAGAATATAGCTTTTCGCTTAGCATAGACCAATTGCCACCGGCCCGGTTACCCGTGGCGACGCCCCGGGGCTGCAGGGCAATTTGCGCTTTAACGTGTTTTCCGGGACGACATTTCCATCTTTTGCTAGTCTAAAACTAGATAAACGGTGCTATGCGCGCCTTCGCAGCGATGGGCGACCACAAACATGGTGCCAGAAGAGCACCGCGCAGTCGTAAGTTTCCCGTGCGGCCACCACCCGATTCCATGGATTACAGCCGAAAATCGGGCGGAAGGTGCATGTGCCGGCCCGGAGCTTCATCGAATCGTTGTTTGGGTAAGCTGCTGTTTCAACCGGAAGTAGATGTCTATTTTCTAAGATGTCAAGGGAACAGCAGAGCCGCCGTAATCAGCACGGCAACCAGCGCCGCAACGCAAAACCGGCGGCAAGAGAAGTCCGGAAGAGGTGGTGCGCTAAAATTCAACGCATGAATTTTTGCTAGAAGATTGACGTTGCTGGAATGGAGCCGCAAGAGCGCTCGACCACGCCCGACTCGAGCCGAGCGCGGAAGGAGGACAAAACCACGAGCCCGCTGGATGAGCATGAGAAGGAGAGCACCCGAAGCACGACGAGAAGCCGAAGAACGAGGAAGAAGCCCGAAGCACGACGACAAGAAGGAACAGCATGTGAGGAAGGAAAGAAAAAGCCCGCCATTCAACCCGCGTCATAAGAACTCGGTGGGATCTTAAAATCCAGGATCCTTTAGCGTTACCGGGGGAGGGCTTTTTTCTAGGATGGAATTTTCTAATATAAAGAAACGAAGTGTTTCTAAGACGTGTTTTTACTATTCCTAATGTAAAAACCTACAAATTTTGCATTTAAAAGTACCAAAAAAGTATAAAGTTTCTATAAAATTTTCCAATTTTCAACCAAAATTTCAATTAAAAATTGCTAATTCTTTTCGGTTGTTTTCCACTTGAAATATAGTTCAAATTAACATTTTAATTTTTCGGTTGTTTTCCGCCAGGAATATAGTTGAAATTGCTGACAAAAAGCTATTAAAAACCTCACTTTGTCAAATTTGCTAGCTATTTCTAGAATAGAACCCCCCCCCCCCGATAATGCGAAAGAACCCAAAAACATAGATGGAAAAAAAACTTACTTCGACAACGAAGCATTTGCCACCCCGGCGCTAGCGATGGCAAAGAGGAGCCGAGAGCAAGATTGACGAACAGATGAGCGTTGGGTAAGTGTGCCAAAAAAGCGCTAATTTTGGGTCTGAATTTTCAGAGGAGAAGCACCGCGCTGAAGAGGAGAAGCACCGCACCGAGGAGGAGAAATACCATTGCCGAAGAGGAGGCCTGAAACCGCAGAAGTCCAAGAAAAGAAGGCAGCCATCCCTTGAGGCTTCACGCTGAGGCGACCAGGACCACTCGAAGGAAGGCCACCGCCCGGACGACGGCAAGAACGAGGGGCACCCCTCGACGTACGGGTTTAGACCGGAAATGACCTAGCGGCTTCTGGCACTGGGTCGTTAGCGAAATTGGGGTTTCCAGGGCCTAACCGCGCTACAGCAAAGGGCTGCTGACCCCATGTGTCATTCCCCCACATCAACAAATTGGCAAGTAGCCAACCAGGAGAGAGCGTGCTCAGGGGAGGCGCAGGAGCATTTTATTTTCCGCGTAACCGATTGACTATGCCGTCGGCATCCCTCCTTAAGATAATAAACAACTCCCCCGTTCTCCCCCCCATACACGGTCCAGAGCCGGAAATTCCGCTTCAGACTTCCAAATTTCCCGACCTTCATTTACGAATCGCTTTTGGGTTATAAACTTATTTTTATAATTTTTAAATAGTTTGTATAGCTTCTTAGTAATGAAAACGCCTAAATACACTACAAACAAAAAAATTCCTAGATCGCAAAAGCTAAATCCCCCGGTAACGCTCGAGTACCGCGAGTTCTTTTAGGCGAAGCGCTGCACGCAGGGAAGAAGTAGGCCGCCCCGGATTGCTCGACGTCTCCACGCCCGATACCCCCCACTTACAAAACATTACCGTTGCTGAAATGATCTTTAATCCGAAAAACGTTGCTCACGATGGGAAAGCATGTGCTTATCGCGACTGTTTATCACGTCGCTGTGTCTCGAATAAAAGCATTTAAACGTAACAACAACCAAGCAACAGAAAATGTGCAGAACAGGACCCGAACATGGAAATTTGCGGAAAGACGATGGGTGAATGGGATGGGATTTTTCCGCTATGCGTAGACTCGGAATGTCATAGCGGCAATGGTGCGAAGGAGGCGGACGGTACGGCGGCTCCGTTCGGCGATCATCACCTCCGGCGAGTTGGCCATGTTCAGTGAGGGTTGTCCGGAGGCCAATACCTAAAGCGGATTTTCTATCATAATCGCGAAACCTAAAAACGTCGAAATACTATGGATCTAATTTTTTAAATATAGCTAGCGAAAGCGTCTCTAAATGGTTTTTTACTATTCGTAAACGCGAAAACTATACAACATCTTATGAAAAAATGTCAAAAATAAAGATTCTTCGACCAAATTGTCGCTTTTTTACCAAAATTCGAATTTAAAAAGTTTTAAAAAAGTTTTTCAAGTTGAAATATAGTTACTTTTGACTAAAAAAACTATTAAAACACTTGCTATTAAGTTATTACAGTACAGTACATTATGAAATTTCGAAATTATGAATTCCCATGTTTTGCAAATAACCCCACAAAACGGGCCCAATCGAGATTAATGAACTATTTTGAAAAGCGCTCACAAAAGCATCCGTCCGGGTGGTCATCTGAATCCGTTCGAACGTGTCGGTCAGCGTCTAAAAAAGTTTATAACCTGACGAACCACAAGTTTACCTCGACTAGCGCATGGTCGAAGCACAACGGCGCGAGGGTCTCCATCGTGTCGAGCACCGATTGAGTGCGGATATTCTGAAATTAGGACATTAGCGGCAGCGGCAGCGCATGAATTTGGTCTAGCAGCTAGCAAAAGCTGGATCGCTAAATTTTAGCCGAAGAAGCAAAACAAAAACCAACGTTTGCCGCCAAGAGGTACTGATCCAGCCTGTACGAATTGGCCACGATAAGCTGGGCAACGATGGCGGCCAGCGTGTGATGTCCGCTTGACGTCAAACACACGCGAATCCGGTACCACATCTGTAAATCGGGGCATAATAATGGTGCCACGACTTTTTGTGGCTCTTCCGAATTTTGGGGCCGAAACGAATTTTTTCCTGCAATTCCAAGAAATGCCTAGCAACTTTGCAGTAACTAGTAAAATAGCGCGATTTCAAGTGGAAAAACAATTCAAAAATTTAGACAAATTTTTAAGTGCAGTTTATGGTCGAAAATCCGAGTTTTGTAGTTGTTAATCGAAATTGACAACGTTTTCACGTTTCGAAATCGTAACAAAAATTAGACACACGCCAGAAAAATATCGTAAACACGATATTCTCACCAAATCGTCGAGCAAAACGTCAGGGAATGGCGGGAGCAGCTCATTCTCCATGCACGCGCATACAGTCTCCATATAGTAACCGAGAGCATTTGTTGTCGCGCCCTTGGCTGAAAATACGTGATAAACACGCGTCCAGAAAACGACGTACTGTAATAGTAGTCGGCCAGCGACCGGAGCCAAAAGGCGTGCATTGGGTTGAGGCGGAGCCCGGCCGAGAGAGCGGTGAATAAAGCCTCATCAAGGTATTCGACGTTGGTCGCTGGTAATCTAACAGCTCAAATTTGCTTCGTTGAAACGCTAAGACTTACTCGACGTCAATCCTCCACAAGTCTTTGCTCTGGAATTCGAGCGCAAGCTGGGGCTTCTTGGCCGTGAGGAGGTACCGATTGTACAGGTGACATAAGAAGGAAATTAGCAGGGAGAGGTGCTCCTGGTCCTAAATTCAAAAGGTCAGAAATTCGCTGAGATCGTTACCCGTAGCAGCTTGATGAAAGAGAGCAGATTCATGCGATCGTTCTCGAACTGACGGCTGTTTCTGAAAACAAAGACCCGAGTTGGAGCGGTTCTTTAGCAATATCGCGGGGGGGGTAACTTTTTTCTTAGGATTCAATTTTGCTAGTATAAATGTTTTTACTATTCTCAAACGTCAAACTTTTCATTGTGTTCAAAATTACACAAAAATATAGATTTTTCGACCGACATCGATGGTTGTCGACTATTTTCGATAAAAATTCCGACTTCAAAACTTGTTCGATCTTTGTTGGTTCTTTTTCCACCTCAAAAATAGTTAATTTTAAGGAAAACACTATGAAAATACCTACCATTTCGCCACATTTCTGGATTGATAGGAAAAAAGTTGGTTTCCCCCGATATTGCGAAAGCACCGTTAAAGTTTTTTAGTGGCTTTCTTAGACTTAAAGCCACTCACGATGAGGCAGAGAAGAAGCCGTTCGACTCAAAATACGTCGCAAAATTGCCGGTGAACTGGATTTTTGCCTCCTTGGCATGGCCTTGCACCTAAAAATTGACATTTCATCTTCCTTGGACTATAATGGCTACCTGTTTCCAGGCGGTGAGCAATTGGGCCAATAGAAAGTACGGCGGTTTGACGGCTGGAGTTCTGAAAAAATACATTAAATCTTTCCCAATGGTCTTGACAAGTGTCAGACGAAAACTGACAATTCGGATAGAACGAAGTCGTCTTGCGCAACGTTGATCAGAAAGGCGACCGCCTAAAATTTTGTTTCGACTCTGGCTTGAAGCGGAATCACTCACCGAAATCATAAACTGGCCGTTGGGTGGCAATGACGACTTGCGGAGCAGCTGTTTAATCAGATTCACGTGGTGGTTGACGGTAACTTCTGGAAAGCGGAGATAGGAAAACCTCGGGGGCAAAACCCTACCATCGACGGCACAATGCGACGTTTGTAGCTGATAGTTAAGGCACCGAGTCTGCGCGAGAACAGCCTAAAAGTTGTTTATAGATAAAATTAACCATCAAGCCCAGAACCTCTTGAATGGTGGCATCATTGCGTTGTTGCAACACAGGCGTGTTGGTCACGACGAGGTTCAGAAATTCGCTCCACTTGCTCAGGTTCTAAAGCCAAGTGAAGCCAAGTTGGGAAGAATACCTTGATGCTCGCCAGCTGCTCCAATTTCGCTAGCAGCACAGCGTTCAACCGGTTCTGTTTGCCCTGCATCAGCACCTCGGTCAAGATTTCGGGGTATTTGAACTAAAATGCGATGAAGCAAAACTTCTGGATCTACCAGATATGGAAGGTGGAAAGCTTCCAGTTGGCTGATCGCGCGGCACAATTCGGCAACGTCGAAAGAGGTCAGCATCGTCCAGAACGGGTCGCCAGGAACTGTGTATAAAGCTGGAAAAAAAAGAACAGATTATATTCATCGATAAGTCATACCCGATCCGTCAACGGCGGAAGCAGGAATTTCGGGCGACGAAGAGGGATGAATTGCTTGTCTTACAGCAAATTCAACAGGTAGAGCTTTCTAAAGCGGAAACGTTGAAAAGTAAGTAATCATAAATATACCTTTACAAGGACCCTCTCGATATCCTGGAAGTTTGGCACCGTTGCCGAGATCAAATAAAGCAGGGCTCTCACGCTGGTTCGGGCGATCGGGTCACGTATCCGCTCTATTAGCCGAGCGATTGCCTAAAATGATTCGAATCACTTTCCAGAAGGCAAAAACGATCGTGGGAACAGGTTTAAAAACCCACTTGGACAAAACGAATCTTCGAAGCTTGAATAAGTCCGTGGAAAGCCGTCGGCGCGAAAAAGTGGATTCCGTCCATTGCGTCCCTTGCAAAGTTTTCCGCCTGAAACGTTTGTGAGAGCGAAAAAAACAGCTAAACCTTTGTCATTGGAGATAGCGCACCGCGGGACTGTTGCAGAAATAGGGAGCGGTTAATCCAAAATTTCCGCTGCGGCGTGTGATCCTCCATAAGCATCTGAAAGAGTACGTCAACTTGGGCTACACCACCATACCCCTTCGTGAATTGTTGGCCTCGTGTACTGGGGGCGACCGGGAAGCGGTGGACGTTGCACCGCAATCAAATACCTAAAACATATTTTCCAAGCATGAAACCAAGCCATACCCGTTCAACTCGTCGCGATCGATGACGCAGAGCCGGAAGGTTTCGCCATTTGCGGGCAAAAGCGGGGTCAACTAAAGAAATGAAAAGAAAGTCAGCCAAATCCTATTAACTCACGTCATCCAGGTACTTTCGTACAACAGCAAAATTCAAAAGTTGAAAGTGGTAACAGGCCAGCTCGTAGCGCAACTAAAACAGAGGTTTTTGCAAAAAAAACCTATCAAAAAGCCAGCCCTAAAAAGACGCACAATATTATGCAGTTCTTCCTGGGGTATCGAACGGCTTGGCAACTGAAAATCGGCAACCGGTAGATTCTGGACCGTCAAATCGGGACCGAGCAGCGCCACGGCGAGATATCTTTCGCGGGACTGGAAAGGAAGTGTTTGCAAAATAAGATTCTGGCATTACCTGCAAAAAAGGAATTAGGAACATTTCGACAGTGGGGGCCTCAATTTTTCGTCCTTCGAGGAGCATCGTCTCCAGCTCAGCGGCAGCCTCACCACATCTTGCTCTCGACTAATCAATCTGTTTTGCTCATTAAACAAAGTCGATCCCACCTGATTAATCGCCTCGCGATTATTATTCGCCAACAGAATTCCCTTGTCCTCTTGCGTATTCCTAAAGATAGAACCTCAACCTTAGAAATCAGCGCTTACGGGTTGTTCGTCTGGGGTCGACCGGCCGGGACGGGGATCCGAAACTTGTTGCTAACGTATAATCGGAATTTTGAGCTCAGAAGCGCGATGAAATGTTTGAACACCTACAAAAAAAATAAAGACCACAATAATCAGGCACCTCGTGCTCCATCAAATACGACCGCGCGTTCTCCATCAAATAATGGACGAGGTGAATGTTGCTTCTAAAACATTATTATTTTGGTCAAACCTAAAGTACTTACTTTTGCTCCTGAATCATTTCGTCAAAAGCCCAGTCCACGGCCGCAAAGCAAGCCATCGTGCACAACCAGGTCAATTCTCGCTTGCGCCGCACATAGAGGAGATCGGTCTCGGCTGAATTATCAAAAAAGCCTTGTAATGAGAATGAAAATTCACTTTCTAGTCGCTCCGAAGCGACGGACAATATTTGGCTCCTTTTCGCCAAATTGTGGATGTCCTTGTCCAATGCGATCATCTGCTCGACGTATTGTAGCGTGAGGGACAGGATTTCATCTAAACGGGAGCTGCGAAAGCGGACTCTTCGTACCACGATGAAGCGCGGGATGGGTGAGCAACAACTTCAGATCGTTAGCCTTGAGGAAGTAATCGACCCATGACGTCGATGGCTTATCCCAAGCCTTAAACGGATTTGTAGAGCCAATAATTCGATTAACGTTCGAATAAGCGTTCAGCTTCGACTTGAAGCCATAAACTCAGCTGCAAAGCACTACCTCGCATAGCTCAGCGAGCGGCAGCGGCATTGGTGGTTTGCCCATGAGGGACATCACGGCGATTTGACGATGTCCTCTGATTCAGAGGCTCTCACCCGGCAAAAACACTCAAGTTTGTGGTTCCTTAAAATTTCAATCTGATCGCGCGCTGTTAACCTCGATGTGATAGCCCTGCAGGAGAAAAGTGACCCAGCTGAAATGAGTTCCACCTCGTAAGCACAGTTATTCTTTATTCGTCAGGCACAAGGAAGACTAGCAATGGAAGTAAAGGCCGTGTGGATGGAAGAAAATGCGAGTCGGAACTTCGATAAATCTCGAGGGCGGAAAGGATTCACGATTTTTCGAAAATAAAGCAGCGGATTGGGTGGAATGAAAGAGCTGAAGTTCGCTTGGAGAGATGACAGCAAGGACAGATGATAGCACAACACAGAATAGATCATGTAATAACTAGCGAGCGCTACGGAGGATGACACGGAGGAGTCCAATCGAGTTAACATTCGTCGACGCAGCGCTGTTCGGCCGCATAGGAGCCGCTTTGGGCCTCGTGAATCTGCTTCATCAGCTTGACGACGTTCATCGTTGGGACTGCAAGAAAAAGTGAAATCGATAGATGGGACACCTACAATATCCAAGTCCCTGTAAGAACAGCATCAGAGCTTCGGTGACGGCTTCCGGTCGATCGTCCAGCACTAGCCCGCAAGAGCCGGAGACCTAAAACGAAAGGTTAAATTTTTGTGCCTGACAATACGTCAAACAATTATTTATAGAACAATTTTGTACCTTAATCCAGTCGCTCCTGGACGGATCCAGGCGGGTATTCACCTCAACCGTCTCGTTGACAAATGCCGAGCCTAAATAATGAACAATATGCAAAAATGACAAAACGCCTACCAGCTCCGACGAGCTGCAAGACAGGGACCTTCAACTGTGGCCCGGCAGCGCCTCCTTCACGCGAGAAGTTGATCGGAGTTCGGCTGAAAAAAAAGTCATAAAACGGCCACAAAAATTTAACTGACTTTATATAGGCATCAATTAGCATAGAAAGGTTTGTGGGATTCGGCAGGTGCTGGAAATAGACCCGGTACTGCCTGAAAAAAGCTGTATATACGTCAAAAGCCACAAACTAAACCTGACGATGTCGGAAGAGCACTCGTCGATACGACGGCCAAAATGATGCCACATCAAATAGTCGGCGACAAATGAGGTCATCCCGTAATTCTTCAAGTGACGCTGGTTCACCTTAATTTTTAGGATGTTACGTATGAACTGAGAAGTACGTACCTTTTCATAGCCCCACTCGACCCAGCCGCAAGTGCTGTGGACACAATTCACCAGGATGAGCGCGTTGACACGGTCTTGGTTCATCAACTAAAAAGGGTGTATGAATTTTTTAAGCTGCTTACCGTGTAGCGCAGCAGTACATTAGCGCCGAGCCCGACGCCAAACGCGAAAAAGTGCGGCAATCTACAAAATTCTCCTAAAAACCGAACCGAAAATTTACTTAAAATGCTCCACAACATTTTCCACAATGTTTGCGAGACCCTCCATCGTCGGGTATTGGAAACTGAAACGAAAGATAAATAGCAAAAACACAATTACTTCTCAGGCAGTGGCTTCGCATCCATCTCCTGGCCAGGAGCGTTGATGTTGTAGATGCAGAACTTGTCCGTGAACTCGGCGATCGATACGAATTGGAAGAAATTTTGGAAGTTGCTCTCCGCTAAAAAAACTTATGAATTGAATGGTCGCACGTAACCTACAATCAAGCCCAAGATCATGGAAAGTGACGAGAGGTAGGCGTGCACGATCGCCATATATTGTCACTTTGACCTTCCCAAAGGCAGTGCTGACACTTTCCTAAACACCAGATATCAATAGATGCGCTATGATAAACCTCTTGAAAATCTCCGCCTGACCCGTCATCACATAATGGCTGCACGTCTCTTGGGAACGGGTAGGTATCCAATTCGATGCCAGACATACCTGGAATGTTGATTTATTAGAGACCTTAAAGAAATGAGCACGAGTGAGGACACAAGGAAATACTGGCAACACATAATACAAGATGCGGGATCCGCCCGAAGATAAATTATATAGGATCCAGTCGAAACAACAAAGAAATAAGGGGTTCAACCAAAATACAGTGAAATGAAGATCATAGCAGTGAAAGAGAGCGTAGCGCCACAGAATACAATTGAAAATATTGGATGATAGCTATTCAAGGGCAAATGAGCCGATCGCCTCGGCCACCCGATCGGGGAGATCCATAATCTCATCTCCGTTCTCGTCGTAGTGGCTGATATGTGTCAACTGTTGCAGCCCCGGGTGCAAGCCGATGACCTGAAAAATTGGATCTAACGACAACGCCCACAACGCCTACATTTACGCCGTCGTCTCGCACGTCGACAAGACAGCCGTGTTCCCGGGCGCTCAGCTGCTTCTCCATTGCAGCAATCTGCTTTACAGCCATTTCTGAGGTCGATTCAACGAGGCTAAACGGCTTCGTTCAGAACTGATAAGGGTCATACTATTCGCAATCATCAGAAATTCCCCTGCGCAAAGAGTCGTCGGCGCTCTTTTCAGCTTCACATTTCCCAAGCACCTGTTCCAGCATCTCTTTGGCCTCGATTTCGTCAGTAGTTAGCTGAAAAAAAATGCGGATATGACAACTTTACATGTGACTCTCTTTAGGCGACCGTCGACAAAACCAACTTTGCTGAGTGCCGCTTCGCGTGCGTTCTGATCATCTTCTAGTTGTTGGCACAACGAGCCCTGCACGTTGATTTTCTCTTGGAGATCGCGGAAGACTTTGGCTTGCGAAAACCGGGCTTTTCTGGAAATACACAATTAGTACCGTGATGGCATTGCTAGATCAATAAGTTGCAAATTCACCGCTTACCGGAGGTTAGGGATGATGCTGGTCCTGATATGACGCACTTGCTGCGACACATCGTCCTGGAGCTTCTTATTCTCACCGATATTCCGAAGTATGTCATTCAGTACAAGGCGCGCCTGGGCAATGTCTTGTCGTGGCATCTGAAAAATAAAATAAAGATACGTGCTTGTGGGTTGCTATTGATCAAAATGAAAGGACGGATTAAAGCAGATCAATCTTTTAGACATTTCTCGAAATTTGACCGCTCAAGTCCCAGCTGACTGCTCCATGCATAGATCCTAGGGGTTTTACGGCCGTGCTAATCCCCTCCCTCCGGTGACACGGGCGCGGTTTAGCAGCGGCTTGCTAGAGCAGTCGGTCAAGCACCCACCTCCCAGGTAGAGCAAAAGAGGCACAGATACACGAGAGTTCAATACTTTCAGTTACTATTGGTCAAGTAATGCATAGACGAGTCTTTATTACCGCATGAGATCGAATACCAGTATTTAGAAATTGAGCGGGAAATTCGTGGCCCGGTGATTATTTTTGCTGGATGTAGTGTTTGTTCTGGAGTAAATTGTCTGTTTGCTTCAGGGCCGCCAGCAAGGGTTGTCGTAGATTCGTGATCTAATAAAGAATAAAGTAAACGATTAAGCGAGCTACCTCCAACTGTTGAGTGTTGTCCATATGGGCGTAAGTGTGACTCGTCTAAAATCTGATTCGTACTTCAAATAACGAACTTCACCTGTTTCAGATATCTCAAAGTCGTCGTTCGTAGTTTTGCTTCCCGTTTGTCCCAAATATCTTGTACGAGCGTTTTCGCCTAAACTTCACCAGAAGGAAACCGAACACGCGTACCTGATCACCATCTTGAAAATCTTCTTTGCATTCGCGCACCAATATGTGAGCCATTTCGAAAAAATGTTGTGAAGGAAGCTGTAAAGAACGGTTAGGCAATGCGGTGGACACGCACCTGCAGTAGGGAATCAACAGCTTCGGTTTCGGCCAGCAATATTTCCTTCAACTTTTCTACAGAAAGCCAGTCGGGAATCTAAACGAATCTAAGAAAAAACAACAAAATCTTTACCTTTACAACACACTTCATACGCTTTCGCAGATTCGTAGCAACCCATAGTGGAACTTCTGACGGTAGCCCAGCTTCAAAAGGGCCAGCATCGCCTCCGATAAATTGTATAGCGCCGCTCGTGAAGTTTGGAACGACCTCCACCAGCTCTTCACCAGCCAAAAATTCACAAGCCTCGATATCCATCGCCTTCCTAAACTCGATATCTACTTCTGCTGCCAGCATATCCGAAAGTAATGTTGAAGTCTAATCGTTCGCGCATTCGGTCTGGCCTTTTTCTTGGGAATCTTTATCAGTTAAAGTTGCAGAAAATATATTAAACCGGGCACGAATTAAGAAAGATGAAAATCACAAATGAACGATAAAACACATTTGCACGATGGCAAAGGGGGCGCCTAGTGGCTGACATCCATGCTCTCGACGATCTCGTACTTGATCTCCTTGCGCTTGAGGACCGCAGTCGAGCCAGCCTAAACCAAGGAGATTACGTCAACAAATAAAAAATACCTTGAATTTGTAGTCCAAATCGATGGGTTCGGGTTTTTTACAGAACTCTGGCACAATCGGTCCTTCGAAAATCGTCTTCTCCGGGCGGATGATGACCAGGTTTAGGCTGTTTCCTGACGCGTTGTCACCGTGCATACCGGCGTGGAGAGCACGTTGCACCAGATCCTATTGCAGGAAAGTTAAAAGTAACTCTGATTTGACCAAACCTTCGCTTCGGCTTCCGTCATCTTGGGCTTGAAGTCGCGTTCGAGAATCGAGATAGCGGCATAGCTACCGGATCCCTAAAAATTGGTAAAGCAAGTATGCCGTCGACAAACCTGAGCAGCGAATTCCTTGTGCATCGTGGTGCCGTTGGCGGTACATTCATAAAGATGAGGACCGGTCGGGTCAACGCCGCCAATCAACAGGTAGGCACCAATGTAACCCTACGATTTGGTTAGGTCAAGGTCTGCACAAGAGCATACCTGATAGTTGAAAAGATGCTGCTTTGCTTGGCGCATAGCTGTTATCACGCGGGCCTTCTTGCCAGTGTTCAGCTCCATCAGACGGAGGTTCGACGACAGCATTTTTGTCACCTAAAAAAGAAATATCGTTTTCTTTGCATACACAATCGGAGGCTCACTATCACAAAAAATCATCCGGCTCCCGCGAGCAATTTCGCAAAAATTACCTGATCCAAATCAGCAGCAGTTCCTGCTCCACAGGCGTAGATGCTCTCCGTGATCTTGTGCACCTTCTCACAGTGCTTATCGGCGATGATGTTTCCGGCCGTCGCTCGAGAATCGGCTCCCATCACAAGCCCACCGTCGTACGACGTGGCAACAATTGTGGTACCTAAAATGAATTTCCTAAAAATCGGTCAAGATCACCAGTCGAAGTAAGGCGAGGGGCAGCGGCGCCCATTCGGCACAGGGCCATGTTTCTGAAGCAGTTGTCGAAGCTGAAGGCGCCGCCTTTATCGAGCTCCATCTTCAGCACCGGCTTCTCGGCATTGATCGTCGCCATGATCCTGTAAAAAAGTTAATATAAATGGAATTTCCAAAAGGACGAGGCTTCGACCGGGAAGACATGAATGTGGAGGTACAGGTAAAGGCAAAGACAGGAGCGCAAAAAAGGGTCCATGACAGATGAACAAGCAAGCAAGCAAAACCACAAAAAAAAACCAAAATCAAAACTGAGCAACACCACTTTAGCGTGTTTACTAAGAAGTCATTGTTGCTCAAACGTCGTTGCTCATTTGTCATGGCCCCAGAAAAGCAGAAGACGACCGACTCGAGTTTGAGCGCGAAGTTTTTCTTATGAAAAGCATTTTGTTTCAGCGCTGATTTTCATCCATTCCATCGCAGTCGTGATGATTTCAACGACGAAGTTGAATTGGGGGCAAGTTACTGTCCCAGGGCTCAAAATAGGCGCCGGCAAAAGGGAGAGGGGAGAGAAGGGAGCGAGTCAGCCGACCGCATTCGTCTCATCGGCTGGTTGCGACGATTGGGGGATACTGCGGGATCCCAGGATAACAACGTCTTGAAAAACAAAACCAAAACAGTGCATAAGGCGAAAACGTTTGTATTCCAGATGCCAAAAGACGCGCTGAATTTGATAATGACTCTGGGCTTTGGGGCCGACCGCTTCGAAGTCCTGAAAAAAAGACAAAATTTACGATGTTCGGTTTATTTCCACTGCTGTACAGTGTACAGTCTTCCGTAATTGTTATTACAACGTAGGCACCCGGCCGGATTTTGAGGCGTCTCGAGGTTGAAGCATGCTGAAGTGGCATGACCTTGGCGCGGGCAAGTCGGCCACCAAACTCTTGCACTAGCGGAAAGAATAGACGGGTAGTCTGGTAGATGAACCGTTTGAATATAATTGTTTGCGGAAGGCGATTGTCGGGGTTTTGTCGCTATTTCTGGCGGTTAGCAATACAATTCGAGCTGAGTTTGTCGAAAAACGTGGGCAGCTTGCGAAAATTCTATTGAAAACCTGCCAACCGGCTTTGTGGGCTCTATATAAAGATTCCGACTCGTTCCAAACTGATAATAAAACATTGTATTGTGGTTTTCACAACCATGCGCGCGCGGTCGCGCGGCCTTGGAACCCCAAATCTAAAGCCAGAAACCTTGTGAAAACCTGCTAATCGGCTTCATCAAGTTTTTAGGTCCAAAGAAATCACTCCTGGTACGTTCCACAGTGGTTTTTACAACCCTACGCGCATTGCTCTTCTGTTGCACGGCCGCGCGACGCCGTAACGTCAATTCTAAGCCCCAAAACCGCACGGCTTCTCCCCCCACCTCGCCACCCCTGTAAAATCGTCAGAAATTTTTCAACCTCATCGTCCGTGCCCTGTGATCTCATCTTTTCTCTCGGCATGCCGAACAAAGGCGGTCGGTGACCCCCCTGTGGGCGCCCGGGCGAGTAGTCGGTATCTCTCTCTGTCTCTCGCTCCCTTTGCCTCTCTCCGTTTCTCCCGCGCGCCTGCTCTCTCGCCCAGTATTGATTAACGCTCGCTCTCCCTGCCGCTCTCGCCTCGTGTCCGCCAAAACGATTTTACACCCCTTCGTTGCGCCTGGAATTATTGGCTGTTTTGAATATTGATGAATTTATCGCGATTGGCGAGGGGTGTTCGGTTATTATTGTCTTTTTATGCGCTTTTTGTGGGTTTACAGCGCTAAAGGTGAAAAAATCTGGTTTTAACGCGATTTTAGGCCGTTTTCGATTCTGAATTTGCTTAGAAAGAGTGTTAGTGCTATTTTTTAGCAATATTTACAGTAGGTCAGACTCAAGGGACCGCGCACCGGGGAGGGCAGATGGTCGCGGTGTCAGTGTTAGGGTATTGGATTGATAATCTATAGATAGTAGGTATGATATCTCTTTCTTTCCCGCTTTCTGATTGGCTTGGTTCTTCAAATTTTGTCATTTTCAGCTCAGCACTACTGCCAAAATTGAAGCGATGACCAAGCCAGGAGCTGATGAGGCGCAGCCCCCGGAGCAGCCCATCGACTTGGACGGTAATAAAAACATTATATCCTTTAATTTTTGAATTTTGCAGACGCGGGTGAAGTCATTCGAACAAACGAGATTACTGCCACCGTCTTGATCGGCGACACGAGCGTACCTATCGAAATTCCCGTGTTTGATGACAGCAACGTATCGGACGGGGGAATGGACAGCAGCATGGCAGATTCGTCGATGGACGATTTTGATGGAGAAAATAATGAGAGGTGAGGGGATTCCTATACCTTCTAATGAAGTTTTAGGCTGAAAGACCTCATCAACTCGTACTTCGCGCCGTCGGACCCGATGCGGAAGCTGTACTCGATTCCCTCTGTTGAAGGCGAAATCCCAGCCGATGTTTTGGAAGAAGCCGAGATCAAAAGAGCTAGACGCGCCGAGACGGCCAGACTGAGGTGAGTGTCTAACATACGATGGGCTTTGTGCGTCGCATCCGATATGTACCTCGTGTCACATCAAATATTACCATTTTGTTAGGTATCACCGTTTGGCCCCCGAGAAAAAGAAAGCCGTCAACCGGAAACGCACCGAAACACTGAGGCAAAAGCGACAGATGGCACGCGAGCTGAACAGCATGGAGATGTCCGTCGACGGAATGTATATAAAAAATGAACCGGTAGAGGCAGAGGAAGTCCAGGACTTCTCGCCCGAGCCCCGCGCGTCCATGGCATCCTTGACGGACGAGCAGAAGCGCGCCAGATGGGCCGAGAATTCGCGGCTAAGGTGAAATAATTCAATCCTTTTTAAATTTTGTTTGCCAGGTATTACAAGATGACACCTGAGGAAAGGAGGGCGTACAACCAGCGCCGGGCTGGCCGACGGACTGGCAAGGGCGTGAAAAAGGAGAAGGTATGTTTAGAACTTTTTTTATTGGCAACAATACCTCGGCAATGAATATGTGTTGTTTAGGAGGCCAACGACCTGCTACTCGAGCTCATGGACGCAGAAGATGTGAAAAAGAACAAAGTGAAGGCCACGAATGCACAGAAGGCTGCGGCTGCGCGGGCTAGGTATAGCATCGTTTGCTAAATCTTAACAAGTGTTTTCTTAGATACCATCAAAAGTCTGCAGAGGAGAAGCGTTTGCTAAACCTGAAGCGCACCGAGGCCTTCCGGCGGAAGCGCATGGAAGAAGAGCTGACGCTCGCCCTACAAGGAAGCCCGGAAGCCATGAGCGAAGAGAAACGGGCTCGTATTAAGAAGATCAAAGAGGCCAAAGCTCGCCGATCGGAGCTCTCTCGGAAGCGCTATCATAATATGTCTGTCGAGGAGCGGAGGGTGAGTAACATTTTCTGGAGTTTTGTATTTCTTTTTCAGGCTTATAACACGAAGCGCTACAACCGATTGCGAGCTGATCAGGCTGCCGACATGACCCTGTCATCGATAGATTTGGAATTCCTTCGAAATCATGCCGCTGAACAGGGATTGAGTGAAGCTTACCTAGAGGTTGGTGCCCGTTTTGAGTTCAAACCTTTTGTTTTCAGGACAAGAAGCCGGCGAAGGCCAAGCCAAGCCCGAAGAAGCCGACCCCGAGCGCCTCCAGCTCGCGGGAAAACGAGGTAGTGATTTATATTTTGTAATTTTATGCGCAAATATAGGCTCACCTTCGCCGCAGTGCCCGTCTTCGGTGAGCTGCTTCTTCCGGCAAAGCGCTAAGACGACGTTTGATGTCGTTGAAAGCATCGACTGCTGGTATTCCCATTCCGTTCAAATTGTGATCTCGGTCTGTCTTGTCAGTGTCTTTATTTGACTGCGTAGTTTGATGAAATGTCTATTTGTTTGGAAATAAAATTAAAGTGCTCACATCGTAGTCCTTTCAGGTGCCTTTAGAATGAAAATATTGGATGAAGCTCGCGAGAAGCCTCGTTATGCACCGACCTATATCATTTGACAGCTGCTCATTTTTCAGGCGTGCCCTTTCGCAACGGCGCGCCTCCAAATCCGGTCGGCCAATTCCCAAAAGAGCGCAAAATTCCATGCGACTCACTCAGTGGAAGGGGTGGGGGCTAGCAGCAGCATCCAGTCCTCCTCTGATTTCGCAACGCCCTCTCCTCGCTCGTTTCCACTGCTCGCCACGCCAACCCCACACTCTCCCGCGCCCCGGCCGTATCCCAGGCCTGGGTGTTGTTTTGAATTTCAAACGTGCGAGCGTTGGCAGTAGTTCCGCGCGTTTTTTGGGAGTGTTTTTTTTTTTTTCGAAAAAAAACGATGTTTTCATGGGAACGTTTGCTGCGTCAAAATCTGGAGTTTCGCGGGTACTGTATAACTTGTCGTGTCGGCTTCTCCACAAGCTCTTGGAGCTCTTATAAGGAGTAGATTTTAGGTGATATTGCAGCCTTGGGATGTGACATAGCCCATTCGCGTGAGCATGAGCACAGAGCTCATTTGTTGCTGAGCACGACCTATATCCCACAAAATTTGAACGATAACGAGCATCTAGAAGTCCAGAGTTTGTTAAACCGGGCCCGAAAATAAACAAAATTGCCCTTTCCAGAGCAAATTTTGCAGCAAAATCGAAAAAATTTGGCTTAGAAAAACGGAATTTTAAGCTCTATCGAGCCATGTCAAACCAATAACTGCACTATCTCTTTAAAAACCTCCCCTTTTTAGTGAATTAATCCAGAGCCAGAATCAAGAAATCAATCCCCCGCCCATAGTTCATAAATCGGGCCCCAGTTGAATGGAGACAATTGGCATGAATTGGCATGGCCGTTCCCCCTGTGGGCCCTCGGCCCCTAGTTGGTCTATCTGAGGGCCCAAGGGAAAGCTTGAATAATTCATGACCACCCGCGCGTATCCACAATTGCTCACGGCACATAACTGCCGTCCCCCATGCCCCATATGGCGGCCAATGGGTTAGTGGGGGCAATGGCAGCATGCCAAGCCAGTTTAGCCGGGTGGCAATTATGCGGCGTGTTCTGCTACTAAATATTTTTAAAATTATTGAAAGAAAAAGGGGGACTGGTCGGTTAGCGAGGGGGCTAATTTGGCCTTTCATCCAATAGGGTCCCAGGGAGATTTACACCATTTGTGTGGCTTTTTACTCCGTTTAAGACATAAAAAGTTCTTTAGAAAATGTTAAAATTTAGAAAAAAAATGATTTTTGCGAAAATTTCAATTTTTGACGATTTCCTTAAAAAGTTCTCGACTTTTTAGTCATCAAAAACTACTAACATCACCGTAATACGGCACGATAAAACGATTAAAATGCTTGCTAGGACTAGCTAGATTTCCACCCCCGCTAACGGTCCAGTACCGGAACGGCAACGCTACAATTTATCGCCCATTTCTCATTAGTCGTTCCACAACCCCCTTGAGATTTCCTTGCTGGCAGCTGTTTTCCCCCCACATCCCGCCCTCCACCGCGAACACCCCCGATCCCGGCCTCGGGAGAATTTTTTCGGCGCTTGCCGCCACCCCCAAAAAATACAGCTCCACCACTCGGCCTCGCGCTAATTAGGCGGCAGCCCGGGCTATTCGCGGGTCCTGTTTGCTTCATGTGACTTTGCCAAAAAGAGCACGGTTGCCATGGGATTTTGGGCCGAGCCCGGCTGAATAGGTGAAGCGGCCCCCCTGTTTCAGGTGGGGGCCCCTCCCTCCTATTTACAGAAGGGCTCCTCGCACACTCGGGCATCGCCTATTCTGGTGCCCGGGTCTCGGGCGGGTTTCCCAGAGCGCTCGATGTCCCATCCCTGCTTTCCGCTTTTCGCATCGCTCCTCGAAATTCACGGCGCCTCTTAGAAATCTGAGACTCGGCCGTGATGCGGTGCTGGGGGTAGGGGGTGAATCAAGGCGGCGCAGCGAGGCTAAATGTTATTTTGTAGTTGCGGCTGCGCTTCCCCTTGACGCTTGTTTCTACTAGCATCAACCTAGGGCTGCCAAACCCAAAAGAGCGGATGTGGCTTATCAAATTACCAAATGTGCCCTTCATTAGATTACGTTTTAGCCAGTTTGTTTGTCCTCTCTACTTATCCTAGACTGTGCTCTGATTTTCAGACTATGTAGAACGTTCCAAAATTTCCCTACGGCTTAGCTGAAGCTAAACGCCACCCCTGCTCCTACCCGCAACACAATGCACCGGTGTCGAGTATTATGGCCGGCAGGGGCCCGCTTTGTGCCCGCGTGGGGCTTTCATTGTCACGTGATCTCTCTCCCGGGGGCCCTTGCCTCGTTTGGGTGCCCGGCTATGCAGAAACCAATTCGAGTCCGTCTTCAGTTATGTGTACTCCGGAGTGCGTCCGCCAGTTTGGCATCGACCTAAGTGTTCTGCAAACATTGCCTAAATTCCTAAAGGTCTTGAATATTCAGTTTGGGGCTTATCACACTTTTTTATGACTAGGAACTTCGGTGCTAATGCACTTGGGGGGGGGGCAGTCTGGATTTTGACTACGAGACGCTCCAAATGCCGTTTTTTAAACTCGAAGCCTCTGGAAAAGCTAAGCTAGGCTTAAGCCTAGGCTTAGCTTCAAACCAACGAAGCCTCGGCTTAGCTTAGTTCTAAGCTAACGCATAAATGACCCCATTTTGACCTCGTAAGTGAATTTGAAGCTCAAGATAAGCTTAGCTTGAGCTTAGGCTTAGTTAAACCTAAGTTAAGCCTAGGCTTAAGCTGAAAACCAAGTAGCTTAAGCGGAGCGCCTCGTAACCCCTTACTACCAATTTTGGACTGCCCCCCCTAACTGCATTAGCACCGGAACTTCCATCCGCTCTTTTTGAAAATCTGACATCCTTCCCGGTGCCGCCCGATCTCGATAAGGTCAGGCGGGTGGCAATCAGCCACACGCTTGTCTCTAGCTGCAACCCCCGAGGGATATAGGCTCATTCGACGGCTGGCTCTCCCAATTGCTACTAACGAGCAGCGCCCAAAATTTGGCCCAACACCCTTCCTCCTCCCCCAATTCGCCAATCCTGGGGTACATTACATGCTTAGTTCTAAAGCTTTCTGAACTGCCTCGTTTTCTGGGTTCTGATGTCAGTGTTCACTCCCCCATCTTTTGATCAATGCGAAACTTTCATGGGTTTCCGGCTATTCTGACTAACCCGGCGCAAAAATTCTACACAAACAAAAGATAAGGGCGCTGGAAATCCCACCGCGATTTTTTTTTCTGGCGCTCCGCAACACCTTCCCCTGCCGACAAAATTCAATAAATTTAGGACAGATGGCTGCTGAGAAGCCGAAATTCGACTTCAAATGGGATGCGAAAGATGTCAAGCCGAAGTACGTTGTAGATCCATCAAAATAAAATTAAATTAAAAAACAACAATTGGAATAAATTCAGATGGGAAGCTTTTTCCAAATTCGGAGCGGCTACCGCCACGGAAATGACCGGTAAAAATTTCGACAAATGGCTGAAGGATGCCGGCGTTCTGGACCCGAAGGCAATCACGACGACTATGACCGGGATCGCATTCAGCAAAGTGACTGGGTAGGACTTGTCAACGAAATAAGGAAGACAATTTAGGCCGAAGAAGAAAGCTACTTTCGAAGAGACCAAGAAAGTATTAGCTACTGTTGCGGAGGACAGAGCTAAACAGGCGAAGACGGATCCTCAAGTATTGCCCGATTTAGCTATCCAAAAAGACATTTCAGGCGGAGCTCGACGCGATCTGCGAAAAACTGGCGCGTCTGGAAGCACCAACGCTCAATTCCGCCGCGAAGTCCGATGCTAATGGAGTGTACAGCCGTCTGACCGATCATACGAAGTACACCGGTGCCCACAAAGAACGCTTCAACACAGACGGCACGGGCAAAGGAAAGGCCGGCCGGGTTGAATTAGCCGACAACAGCGGATATGTTGGAGCATACAAGAACAAAGACACCTACGATAAGGTTCACGGCAAACAATGATCTCATGTGACTTTTGAATAAATAATACGATTCAACAATTTATAGAAAACAAAACAAAAAACAGATTTACTTGAGAGCGGCAGCGGCATCAGAAGCCTTCTTCTCACGTTTTCCCTTATACTTCTTGTCTGCGCGCACTTGTCGGAGGTAACGGAAGATTTCAACTTTCCTCTCGGCTTCGGTAACGGATCGGAATTCGGTCTTGACTGCGGGTTTCTTGAGGGGAAGGACGTCTCCGGCGAGTTGGGCAGCAACTTTGAGCTCTTCGGCCTAAAATCAATATAATGGAAAAAAGGACAGGGCGCTCACGTTGCTGTCTCCCTTCTTGGGGGCGTTGAGCTTCTTCGGGAAGAGGATAAGCTTGGCGCGGTATTCCTTCAGGCGGTCAACGTTGGCCTAGAATTACAAAAATCTGGAGATGCAAGACTGGATTACCTTCAGTCCCTCGTTCGACTTGTTGATGCGTCGGTAATCAACGGCGATGCCGATCGTCCTTGCCTGGGTCTTGGCGATTCCGGCCTCCTTCAGCTCCTGGAGAGTGAAGCCACGACCAAGACGGACCTTCTTGTTGTATCGGTTGGTCGGGCATCGCACTTGTGGCCTGAAAAAAAAATGAGTGACTGTCTGAAGCAATGCACATTTCCGAGCAGCCACTTCGCTTCAAAAATATATTTTCCAAATGCGCATGAGCAGGTCAAACGAATATTTCCTGCGCAGCAAAAACAGCTTCGCCTTCATAATTTTCGGTAATACATTCATTGAACAGCCACGATCTTCATCTACACAAAAGAGAAAAAATTACCGCAAAAGTCCAGAGACCGGTCGGGGCGCGATCGCCGATGCTTTGGCGATACGGGCATTACGACGACGTTCTTTGCGGGCTGGCTGATTGAACCAGGTCCTGACCCTGGTTTGCCAGTGCTTGCGCAAATGAGAGCTGGCGATAACCTGATTACCCTTCGGAGCCATTGCTGAAAAAGGGTTGTAGCTGGGAGGCGTAGAGAACCGAAAAAAGTAAATGAAGAGCAAAAAAGGGCTAGCAAGAAATCTAGGTTGATCGCAAAGTAATGAAAAGTTTGTAGATCACAGAGTACCAGCAGAGAGTAATTTTGCAAGAATTTATCGAAAACTATCGTCAACAATTTAGTTAGAACTTTGAACAGAGAATCAATTTGGAAAATTTGGGAGGGCCGTCAAATGGCGCTCGCCTTTCATTGGGCGCTTGCCAGGGTAGTCGTGGCGAGACCCGAGTGGGCACCGTAGGCAGCCTTTCCGGGGAAAGAGCCTGCAGCGGGAGGGTTTGCCATTTTCCATCTTCCCGACTTGTATTTTTCGTTTTCTTGACATCAAATCTGATTTGTTTAGCCATGAGTCTGTCAAAGAATTTTTTACAAGTCCTCGCAAAATTACCCTGTTTTTCCTCTCATCGATTTCTTATGCTATGTGCGTCACCAGCAACTAGATATCTTATTCATTCACGATTTTCTGATCTCGAATTCAAATTACGCTGTTTACGTGACCAATCTATTACAACTTTTCCAGGTAACGACATAATGGCCGCCGAAGACGATTGGGCAACTGAGGGCGTCGTTGACGAGACCCCAGCCTTCGAGATCCCCGGTGTTGAGCTGCCGGAAGTGAAATTGTTCGGGAAGTGGAGCCTCCAGGAGGTCAATGTCTCTGACATCTCCTTGGTCGACTACATCGCCGTCAAGGACAAGAACGCCAAGTACACGCCGCACAACGCACAGCGATACCAAATTCGCCGCTTCCGCAAGGCCTCGTGCCACATCGTCGAGCGCCTGTCCAACTCGCTCATGATGCACGGCCGCAACAACGGCAAGAAGCTGATGTCCACGCGCATCGTCAAGCACGCCTTCGAGATCATCCACCTGCTGTCCGGCGAGGTAACATTCAGTTTAATGGCTATTAATTTTGTATTTTAGAACCCCGTGCAAGTGCTCGTCAATGCCGTGATCAACTCCGGACCCCGTGAAGATTCGACCCGTATTGGACGCGCCGGAACCGTCAGACGTCAAGCCGTTGACGTGGCTCCTCTACGTCGTGTGAATCAGGTTGGTTTTATCTTTGTGATTTTTGTTTTTGCATTTTTTCCGAGGACACCCACCTCAAAAGCAAAGGGTAGTTATTTCTCCCCTAAGTTTGTCACTTAGGCTATCTACCTGCTCTGCACTGGTGCTCGCGAATCTGCCTTCCGCAACATCAAGACGATTGCCGAATGCCTCGCCGACGAGCTGATCAACGCCGCCAAGGGAAGCTCCAACTCGTATGCCATCAAGAAGAAGGACGAGCTCGAGCGTGTCGCCAAGTCTAACCGTTAAGAACTTTTGTTTTTGTTGCAAATAAATTGTTATATCATTTATTCAATCGATCTTCAACAGGTCTTCTTGCCGAATCGCACCAGCACCTCGATCTAAACAAACACTTGAAAGCGCGGAAGACTGAAACAACCTCGGCGTTGTTGGCTTTGTCCTCGATCACCGTGCGAGCAATTTCGGAAACCAGCGCGGCGATGGCGTCCACATTGATGTCGGCGGCTGAATTTTTTGATAACCTGGGTGAGCAGTTTACCGGTTTTGGATTTGGACTTCGACGCCTGGAGCGGCTCCATAACTTCCACCGTCCTCCGAATCTCTGGCGCAGCGAACACCAATGGTTGCTCCTGCCGGGATGTGATGTTATGTTCAACCGTGGTAGTGATACCGTGCCCTTCTTGACGTTGAGCAGGGTGGAATTGTACGCCGGGGTCCCCTCAAGCCATTCCTGCTCGGTGTAGGCGGGGAGTCGGACCTCGGCTTCTATCAGCGGAGCGGTTCGGCTTTCCGACTAAGATAAATGGGTGTTTTAGGTTATCGTTGAATGGATAATTTGGTGCATGCTATACTACGCGAATCACCAACAGGGCTTCTTTCAATGGAGGTCCTCACTGAACGCTCGGAGGCAGGAGCGTCCCGCTAAAACGCGGTGTGGAATGGCTACGCTCTTTACCACAATCATCCTGTCCTTCTGTTCATTTTTCGGGCTTGCCTTTGCGGCCATTTTGCTTTGCACGACTCTGAAAAGAGGTTTGACATCGTGAACAAGATACGGTTCCGAGTCCTGCGGCGGGATTGCTTCCTTTTTGTTCTGCATTTCGACACTAACCTAAGGTAATCGACTGGAGACTGTTAAGACTCACCGATATATACAAACTGGATTTCGTTAAACAAGTAGAAAAGGATAATTGTTTTTTTTGTGGATTTTGGACAGCAGGGACTCCGGAAACGTGCTCCCAGACCCAAATTTTCGTATTCAAATTGCCGTGTTACACATAAAATGGAAACAATTTATTGCCTGAGTATATCTTAGGTTTAGCACCAAATCATGTCACAGAACTAGCAATGTGTGCAATAGTCGTCTTTCGAAATAAATTTCAGGTTTTTGGCAGACGATGGGCATTTGGAGATCAATGATGGTTGTTGTCGGACGGATTAAATGAGATGGCAGCAAAAAGACACCGGATGCAAACTGGGAGGCGACAAGGCACAATGGCATAAGTTAATTGAGCACCAAGAATTGGCCCGCAACCGGGGAGATCGTTCGATTGATGGCAGCGACGAGATGAAGCGGCAGCTTCTTTTAAATTAGTTTACGGCCACGGCCAGTAGGGTTTCATCTGAAAATAGGCTTAATCCAAATTCAAACCCTAGATTCCCAATGTCAAAAGGCATCGCCGGTGTCGTCGCCGCCACCGGCCAGGGGCTGAACATCGAAGATGCGTACACAGACCCCCGCTTCAACAAGGACATTGACGAACGGACGGGTTACCGTACCCGTTCCATCCTCTGCATGCCCATCTTCATCCGCCATCACGTCATTGGGGTCGTCCAGATGGTCAACAAGACCGACGGCATCTTCAACAAGAGCGACGAGGATGCCTTTGAGGTTTTTTTTACTTAATTGTTAAGTTATCGATCCGATCTCTAGATGTTTGCCGTCTACTGCGGGTTGGCGCTGCACCACGCCAAGCTGTACGACAAGATCCGGAGGAGCGAGCAGGTAAGGCCTAGGCTTGGCTTAGTCTTACAAAATGGTAGTAAACCTTCTAAAAGCTTCGGTTAGGCGTAAATAAGGTAAAACAGGGCCTACCGGTAGGATACCACTAAACTGCTTGAACTTGACGAGAAACAAGCTATTCGCCCGATTCCAGAAAAACCGTGTCGCTCTCGAAGTCCTCGCCTACCACTCGGTGTGCAACCGCGACGAGGTGGCCAAGCTGAAGAAGATCACGCTCAGGGATCGCATTGAGGAGCTGGAGACGTGGGTATTTTGCTGATGCAAAAGATGCTGATGTACTGCTCGAAAACGTAGGTAGTTTGCAGGTACGACTTCAACGGGATGCGCCTGTCCGAGTTGGAGAAGCCGCTGTACGCCGTCTACATGTTCAAGCACTTGTTCCACGAGACAATGTAGGGATAGGAGTACGCGCGAATACGCAAGAACGCAAATTCCAGCCCGTTCGAGTATGATGACCTGGTGCGCTTCGTGCTGACGGTGCGGAAGAATTATCGGAGGGTGGCATATCACAATTGGGCCCATGGGTAGGTAGATGATCAACAGGGGAGTCTACCAGCTTCTTCGGCAAGTTCAGGCCCGTTGTGGGCCGAGGTTTGATTTGGCGACCAGCCGGTATCACATCTTCAGAAGTACAGCCGAGATCGGCGGTGTTTTAGGCTTAGGATTGGGCATAGACTTAGACTTCGGTTCAGGCTTAGCGAGCACAGTCTGGTAGCAAGTCATATTCGCCGAGTAGTACCCAGAGGTACCACATATTCAAGCAGTACAACCTCGTCGCCGACTTGGGCCTATATTAGGGCTTAGGCTTAAAAATATTATTCCGCTTAACGGGTACGACATATACGACAAGTACTACCCCGTATAACCGCTTCTTCAAGCAGTAAAACCTCCAAAAACCACTATCCTATCCTGTTTAAAACACTAACTTTTCCAGCTGGTCCGTCGCGCACGCCATGTACGTCCTGCTGCATCAGAACCGCGAGCTGTTCACCCCGCACGAAGCCCTCGCCCTGTACGTCTCCTGCCTGTGCCACGACCTCGACCACCGCGGCAAGAACAACGCCTACATGCGAGACATGGCCACGCCGCTCGCCTCGATCTACTCGACGTCCGTCATGGAGCACCACCACTTCAACCAGACTGTCACCATACTCCAGCAGGTACTCTGAACTCCTTCAAGTCGAGCCCGGGTTTAGGAAGGTCACAACATCCTCCGTTCGCTGACGTCGGCCGAGTACAAGTCGGTGTTGGGGCTGATCAAGCACTGCATCCTGGCCACCGACTTGGCGCTGTTCTTCCCGAATAAGTGGGTCGGAAGTAGATGAGTAAGTCCTCGTTCAGGGCCAAGCTGAACACGATCGTCGAGGCGGGCAGCTACAACGTGGCCGACCCAGAGCATCGACGACTGACTCAAGCCGTTCTCATGACCGGCTGTGACCTGATCGCCAGCGCAAAACCGTGGCAGATCCAGACGGAGACCGTCAAGGTCATCTTCGAGGAGTTCTACGAGCAAGTACTGATCAACATGATTGTGATGTTGTGCCGCTACAAAAATGCCTGGAAAACAAAGAAAATCTGAATTCAGGGCGACGCCGAGCGGGTCAATGGGAAGTCGCCGATCCCGATGATGGACCGGAATAAGGCGCATGAATTGCCACAGATGCAGGTCGGCTTCCTGAGCTCAATAATAACGAATTCCTATAATTTTATATACTTTTTCTAAGTTTTATAGCCTAAAAATTTCAATATACCCAAAATTTTGCATTATACAACCAAAAATTGTTTTTTTTGTTGAATTTTTTGATTTTACAGCTTTTCCTCTTTTATTCTTATGTTAAAAATGAGTAGGTGCTAAATGACTACATAACCTTAATAAAAACGTTGATTGAAAATGAAACAACAACTATAGTCCCCCTGATAATAGAACCGTACCGAGAAACTAGCTGGATTTTTGTCTAGAAAAGTTCGTTTTGGGCTCATTAATAAAAACAAATAAAACTGGGTACTTTTGCACTATCCGGGGAGGAGGAACCATTGTAAAAACTACAAAAAAAATCGATTTTCGACAAAATTCCACCTTTTTAGTTTTTGGATAGTTCTTCGACCAGAAATCTAGTTAAATTTTACTAAATCACTATAACAACACCTAGAAGGAACCAAAAATAGTCCCCCCCCCGCGATAATGCCAAAGATTCTAGGTGGGCTTCATGCGCGGCATCTGCGCCCCGTGCTACGACCTGATCGCCAAGGTTCTGCCAAAGAGCGAGACGCTGAAGCAGCGCTGCGAGTAAGCCTAAAAAAATTAGAAACTTAAGAATTATTGAAATTGATAATTACCTCAATGCATTTGACAATTTAGATGTAGAAATAGCTATTTTTGTTATAATCAGAATTAATATTATTTTTATGCTAGTAAAACGCACTTTTTTACAGGTATAACGCGATGAAATGGGAGGAGTTGGCGGAGGAGCAGCGCCAAAAGGAGAAGGAGAAAGCCGCCCAAAACGGGGGCTAAACTCTAAAACTCTAAACGATAATAATTCAACAATTTTACCCTATTTTTCGTTGGTAAGGTCCGGTCGCCTTACCCCCGCAATCCACACTGTGCAATCCCCCGGTGCTCCCAGAGAATTTTATCACTATCCGCCCGGTTCTTGTGCATTATCGGGGGTTTCCTAGAAGTTCAGAAATGCCTAAAATGTAATAGTTACCGTTTTAATACCATTTTTAGTAAAATTTAATTAGATTTCAGGCGGAAAAACTGTCTAGAAACCTAAAATGATTTTTAAACCCCGAAATGTTGGTCTAAGTACCCATTTTTTCATATTTTAGTAAATTTTCTAAAGTTTTACGCTTAGGAATAGTGAAAATAAGTTTAAAACATTTTCTCGATTTATATTAGAACCCTTCCCCCCGATAATGCCAAAGAATCTATACAACTATTCCCATTTTTAATTTATTGAACACCCAGTAATAAATATCAATAAATCAATAAAGAATTCGTTTCCAATCGATTTCGCGAGCCCTAAGGGCTCCCAAAGAACTCGACAACTATGCCGCTTTAATTTATCCAAAAAATCATCACACAGTAACAAATATCACAAACATAAATAAATAAAAAAAATAAATTTGTTTTCCAATCGACTTCGCGAGATCGTCGCTAACTAATTGGTCGCGGGCCGGAAATCGAGCAGCACCCAGGGATCCTTGAAAATTTGTTGCAACCCGAGTCTCCGCGCAGGGTCCTTGATCAAAAGCCCGTCGATTAACCTAAAGTGGATTGAAATCAAAGGAAAGGCTTTACGTTTTAAGTTCTGAACTCAATTCGACGGTTGGTTGTAGGTAGGGCTGTTCGGCAATGTTCTCAAATAGCCGCATGATGAGTTCGCCTGGAAATTGGAGGATACAGGTGAAAATTCGGGTATTGGACTCTTAGCGGGGGAGCTAACTTTAATCTCTCGGGACGTAGGGTACGGTATACGAAAAGATACGCCTCAAAAATCGCCTTTTACGCCTTTTTGAAGTCAAGGAAATACACGAAAATGTTCAAAATTTTGGAAAAAGGCTTTGAAGACCTCTTAGTAATCCAAAAATTCTAAAAACACCATAAAACACTTCAAAACACGTAGTAATGAGTTATTTAGTAAACGGCGCTTTCGCGTTACAGGTAGGATCTTCGTTTTGTAATTCCAGAAATCTCTAAAACATCGTTGTAAGTGTTTTAATACAGTTTTAATAGAATTACCATCCATAAAGTGCAAAAAGCATCTTAAAAGTTAGAAAATTCCGAAATTTTGTTCGAAAACGGCCATTTTTCGTCGAAAATCGATATTTTTTTGAATTGTTTATGTAATTAGTTTTTAAGTTCAGGAATAATAAAACACAGTATAAAAGCTTTAGGTAGTTAGAATAAATTAATTAAACAATTCCATTCAAACGTAAAAATAGTTTTTTGGAAAAAACCCAGGGAAAATACTAAATAACAGAAAATTTTCCAAAAAAATTACCTTCAAAAGGATACGCGCCCGTCACAAGATTGTACAACGTCACGCCCGCGGACCAGATGTCGATTGGATACCCGCTAAAAAGGGTTTATTATTTTTTAAACTATCAAACAAACTTGAAAACCGCATTGAGCCCGGAGACCACTTCCGGTGGCTGAAACTTTGGCGTGCCGCGCGCAGCCGTGCAAACGTCGTCGTTCTAAAGGAAGTACATTTTTAATACGAAAAAAAATTTACCTGAAATGGCGACAATTGCTCAGCGACCCCGAAATCGGTAATCTTCAGCGTGCCGTCGGCCGAGATCAGCAAGTTCGCCGGCTTGATATCCTTGTGGATGACGCCCTTCGAGTGCAGATATTCCAGGCTAAATCGACGATTTTTCAGGCGCTTTTGCATTAGCGGTGGGCGGGACAACCGTTTTTTTCGCATACAAATAGAGGAAGTTTTTCTAAACTGTTTTTTTTAATATTCCTAAACGTAAAAAATTTACAAAATTTCTTCAAAATATTAAAAAATCTAGATTTTTAGACCAAAATTTCAAGTACAACATTTTTCAAAGTTTTTTAAAGGTTTTTCCACTTAAAATTGTGAAATTTGACGAAAAGACTTTTAAAATACTCACTATGACATCACTAGGCGTTTCTGGACTTATAGAAGAAAGTCGCCCCCCCATATTGCAAAAGCACGGACTTTCATAAGAAAAATATACCCGGTGATGAGCTGCCTGAAGAAGAATTGAGCCCAGTTTTCCGGCAAACGCCCGTTGTCAAAGTTTTCGACGACCTAGAAAAAAATCAGTAAAATTCGATCCAATTCCCCTACCTCTTGCAGTGACGCCACGCAATATTCTAACACCATATACATCTTTTCCTTCTCTTCGATTCGAAAAAACTAAAAAAGTGTTATACTCGTAGTAAATACAAACCTGATACATCTGGATACAATTCCGGTGGTTCAACCGTGACAGTATTTCGCGCTCCGTTTGCACGTGCTCGAAGCCGTTCGGTATCTTGCGCAATCTTTGCTCTAAAACCCTAATAAACCTCAAGTATCGGGCAATTACCCTTGAATATTTTGACGGCGGCTCGTTGTAGGGTTTTCTTGTAGATGGCTTCCTAAATCATGATTAAAATCGGTGTAAAAGCCAACCTTTACTTTCGCATAGCTGCCCTCGCCAATCAGGGCTCCAAACAAGTAGCCATGGTACTGCTTCGGGGGTTTTAGTTGCCAGACTTCGTTTCCGGTCTCCGGGTCAGTAATTACCTAAAACTTTGATAGTACATAATAATAACAACAAAATAAACAAAGAAAATAGAGTTTTAATATAATATGTAAACGGGTTATTTAATAATTCCAGTGACGAAAAACATTTACCCGTTTCCGTGATACTAAAATCACAGAAAGTCTTGTCTTTCTCCGTTTTTTACTATCTCTAATCGTTAAAACTTTATGATTTATGCTTCAAAATGCTAAATAATATGTAGTAATTACTAAATATAGGTTTTCGATCAAAAAATAAAAGATTTTCGACTAAAAGGAAAAATTCTAGACATTTCTCCAATTTATCCATCCCTAGAAATACTGAAACCAAAACGAAACCTGTTGATAGTCTCTCAAACGCCGGAAGATTGGTCGATAATCTTTTAGAAGATGTACGAGTTGTCTTCTCAAGTTGTTGGGCAACGTGTAGGGCAACAGGCCGTCCATTGATGAGCCGACAACCTGAAAAAGTGGGATAGAAAAATGATAGCAATTAATTTAGTCGTTTTTCATACTTAGCAAAGGATTTGCGAAAATGAGAAATTCACAGTTCCCCTCGGGGTGAAGCGCACGCATAAAATATATGGATTTTTCAACTATAATTTCAAATTTTGAGCGTATTTCAAAGTTTTCTAAACCGTTTTCTGACTTTAAACCTATCTACTTATCGTACGCATCAAAAAGAAGACTACGTTTACTAGTACATGATTCGATACCCCGATATTGCGAAAGCACCACAAAGTAATTACTTATCTAATACGTTTTCAAAAGATTTCATAACAAGATTTAATATTTCTAGATGAAAGGCGTAAATTTGCTCAATTGTAAAGTCTAGAATAAATTGTAACGCTAATTTTCGAAAACAAAATGACTATTTCTAGAAAGAAATGACAAAATCTCACCTCGGCATCAGCGGAGCGCAGTACAGCCAGTTGGCGCATCGGCCATGCCCCGGCGCCGGTTTTGTTGTTATTTTCGGCTGGTAAGCGGCAGCCGAGTACAAGCCAGGGCTTCTCCCTGCCGCGCTTTCAAAAAACCACGTGAAATTGCTAGGTTTGTCTTTGAAAAACGATAGGTTAGAGTTCAGTATGATAGAAAAGAAAATATGAAGTAAATTCCGATAGTTTCGCTGCTTTTTAGCATGCTAAAACTAAAAAAAGCGTTGTTTTAGCCTTTTTATAGTAACTTTACACTTTTGATAACTTTTATTACCCTCGTTTCTCCGTCTTAGAGTATTTAGCACGTAAATTTTAAGTTTTATGACCTTTTATCATCGGTTTTTATTGCTTTTCGGATCTAGATGGATTTTTCCAGCTAGATAAAGATAAAAACAACCGAGTATAGAGTTTTTAGTACATAACTTTTCAGTTTTAGCGCCTTTCCGCCAATTTTCCAACCTCTGCATCAAGAAACCCATTCAACTTCAAATGCCGGACTTTAGAAATCACGCCAAAAAAGCGTGTAAAACCTTGGTTTGTCTATATTTATCGAGAGCCGAGTAATAAATGGGTATGTGAAGGTATTGGTGGGAGCGGGTTTTCGGGGTTTTTCGGGGGTCCGGCTGGAGATCGGGGTTGTGGGTTGGTCAGTTCTTGTTGCCGCGGAGCACCTGGAAGGGAGAATGAGCTTTAATTATATAGTTGAACCCATTATGGAATAGTCTTTAAGATATAGCTTTATTAAACTCCGGAAAAGGCAAATTTCGGTACCTCGGCCGCCTCGAAGGCCAGCGTGGCGATGGAGCCGAGCAGCTGCGCGTAGAGGGCCAACCTGAAATTTGGAGGAACTTGTAAATTGGTAATAAAATAAACTAGTAGTCTACAAAACATAAACTAAAAATTGCTACGAAACGCACCAAAAGACGAGTCGGAAGAGGGCGGAGCCGATCGGCGGCGCGATGAAGTACTCGACGAGCCCGAGCACGACCCCGGTAAATAGCGCTGAAATTCCAGTGTTATTACTTGAAAAATCTACGCTCCTTTGCGCTAACGGGTTGTAAAGCATACAAAATCGTTCATCTGGTTCTGAAGGGTATTACTAGCTTACCTTTAAAACGAAAAAATGGCTTAATAAAATAATAGAATTCGAAAGCTGGAAGTATTTGCTGATGATCCAATTTTTCTGATAAGAATTCATAGAGGGGCTTCTAAACTTTTTTACTATTTCCAGACGTTGAATCTTACAAATTTAAGCGAAAAATACAAAAATATTGATTTTCCTGCAGAAATGTCCGATTTTCCGTAGGAATTTCGAATTTTTCAAAAGTGTTAAAGGGTTTTAGATAATTTTTTAGTTGTAGATAGCTATATTTTACTAAATATACCCCCCTGATAATGTAAAAGGGCCAAATTGGTAAAACCATGCCCACCGATGGCGTACTGGGTGCGCAGCGTGTTGTTCATGTTCGGCGCGATCATTTGCCGAAAGTCGTAGCGCCCGTCAATGTTGTAGAACCTGAAAAAAGGGGTTTAGAAACGTTATAAAAAGCTGGAAATATCTTAAAAAATTTGCGTTGCTTAAAAAGTTCGTTAAATTATTTAAAACGTACCATCGGCGCGCCACATGGGCCAGGTTGAAGCCGATGACGCCGATGTGGATGATCACGCTGCCGCCAATATCCGCCGCGGACACGTAGAGGCACAGCACCTAGAAAAATTAAAATTAATGAAAATTAAAATAGAAGATAGGCCCCTTACGTCATTAGGAAAAAGCGTACCTGGATAGCCAGCGCGGCCAGCTGCACGATGCGCGCCGAGCCGACGACACGCGGAAAGTCGTACGCCGGTTCCATCTGGATTTTTTTTGTGATTCTTGTCGTTACATTTTCGCATTTTGCTTAGAAGATAATTTTCCACTTTTTAAAGTCTTAGATTTATCAATTTTTAACGCTAAACTTCAAAGTTACAAACCGAAATCTCGGTGGCCATCGCGGAGGGTGAAATTTGGCTTGTTTTGGTATGGTTTGAAATTTTGCGCATTTTTAGGGAAGTGATGGATGCGTGATTTTCAAATTTTTATTCAAATTTCTCGGGTCGCATCTGCATAATTTTATCAAGCGCGGAAAAAAAGCTAGTTTCCCAGCGCTTTTTCTTTTACAAAGTTTTGGTTATATGGTTTTTTCGTGATTCTGCGACAAAAAAATGTTCGAAAAATAGGGAAAAAATGTGGCAAATCATTTTGATAGTCCCCAAATCTATAATTTCAATACGTAAATAAAATTGGCCTTAACAGCCAGGACGGCTCGGTGAAATCGGTGAAAGTTCAGGGGCGAGGTGGGCCCTTGGGGGGAGGTCTAAGGGCCCAGGGGCCGTGGAGTGTAAAACGGTTGAACGGAGCATTCGCTCAAAACGGATCAATGTCTCATCTTTGGCGGGGCTGGGTCATAAACTGAGTCACAACACCGTGAATCGAGTGTGTTTTAGAATTTTAACGGCGTTTATCAACTGACCAAACAATGAATTAAAAGTTTATTAAAAATATTATGGTAATTTTGTTCCTTTTGGGCTTTAAATAGCAGAGTTTTGCATTCTTTAACTGATGTTTCAGAATTTAAATAAAAAACCCCAAGTTTTGAAACGTAAAAAACTGTTTTTCATTATGCAAAAGCCATCTACGTGTCGAGGACCTGTTTTTACCTCCAAAATTAAGCTATAAAGTCGTCACTCTTTTTAAAACGTCAGAAAATACTTTATTTTACAATATCAATGTACAGAAACTTTTTGTTAGCTACGTGTAGCTCCACTGGACGCTCGATTTTGTGCCTGAATTAGTAATTCCTAATCCTGGCTTGTAATTGACTTTTAAACGAAAAGAATGTCTGGGCAAAATGCCGAAATCCCGACAGCAAAAATATCGACAACCAAGACAGATAAAATCCCTACCGCCAAAATCCAGACACGGAAAATGGCTTTTTAAAAGCGAGTGGCATTCTCTAGCGTCAAGGATATGGCGGGATTTGCTGTCGGCATTATGGCTATCGAAATTTTGGATGTCTATATTTTGACTGGCAGGATTTGGGTTGGAATTCAAATTTCGGTTCTAACACTCTAAAATCAAAAAACAGAAGTTTCGTAATCCCCGAAAAGGTTCCTCACCAGTTTCGGCATCGTTTTCTGCGACATCACTTTAGTATGGAAAATCTGCTAAAAATAGTACCTTGTAGTTTTAGCTTGCAGCGGATAAAAACAAGGTCAATCGGAAAGTTGGGGTCGCTTTTTTCGGGTAGGTTGCAATTGGGGGAAAACAGAGTTTCTAGGGGTGGGGCCGAAGAGGGGAACAGCCTTCTTTTTGGCACCGCGCCCAGCGCCCCCACCCGAAAAGAGAACAGAAGCGGAAAAGGGGGGAAAGAACAACAAAAATAAGGGTAAACAAGAGGGCACGTGCACGAGAGGAATTCTGGCTGCGCGGCCTGAAATTTAAAATAAATAATAGAAAAGTGGTAAAGTAAAAAAGCTTTAAAAACTACGTTTCGATAATGTCAAAAAGTGGAAAAATTTAGATTTGCTTCCCCTTTTTCAGCTGCACGAAATTTATATTTAGACGGCTGATTCATACTTTCGCTGCCACGCTTTCTCTCGCTCTCTATGTCTCTCTCACTCTCTCTCGTTCTCTCTCTTCCTCTCTCGCTATCGCTTTCTCTCTCTCTCTCTCTCTCTCTCTTTCTCTCTCTCTGTCTCTCTCTCATTCTCGCTCATTCTTTGTCGCGCACTAGGTCTATCTCGCGCTCGCTCACTCTCTTTCTCTCTCTCTCTCTCACTCTCTCTCGTTCTCTCTCTCTCTCCCTGTCTCGCTTTCTCTCTCTCTATGTCTCTCTCACTCTCGCTCGTTCTCTCTCTCTCTCCCTATCTCGCTTTCTCTCTCTCTCTCTCTCTCTCTCTCTCTCTCTCTCGCTCTCTCCCCGCTCGCTCTCTCCATCATAATTTTCTTCAAAATCCTTTATCCTCATCAAATTATGGTAAATCAATTTGGTCACAGCAGCGGGGGAATCACATTTTTTGGCGATCATCAAATTACCCGTATTGCATCGTATTTTGGTATCAAAACGGAATCACAGTAATCACAGCGAATCTATCATTTCCACACAAAACTCATCAAATACGCGAGCATCGTCACACAGTACGTGTAGATGACCGTGGCGGCGGTTTCGAGGGTCTACAAAAGTCTTGGGCTTAAGCTTGGACTTAGGCTTAGGCTTGACTAACAGTAAAGTGTTTTTGGTCATGATGGAAATTCGGTTCGGGTTTTGTGCAGAATTTTTCGCTGGTTCCGAATCCGATCTCCAAATCTGCAGAATAGTTCTGATTCAAAATTTATGACGTTTTTAAGTCCATTTTAAGCAAAATTGAAGAATTTCATGCTCGATTATTTTGATCTTCCTGATTGATTTTCTAAAAAAGGATATTGCCATCTTACTCAGAATTTTTTTCTCTATCGGATGAGCTGTTTAACTCAAAATTGTCAAAATTCGAAATGAGATAGAAATGGTTGGTATTTTTGTTATTTTTATTATTTTTGTATGGGACTTGTCGAAAAACTGCGCACTTTGCATACCTGTATTTGGCGGCCCAGTAACACCCATGTTTTAATCAATATACCATTTTAATTAGAAAAAATTCGCTATCAGATAGCCTATGCGCGATAAATTAGAACAGTAAAACAAAAAAGGACGGCATCAGGGCCAATCACCTCCCGGGGGCCGAAAACCGCGCTTAAATGCTTCATAACTTTTGAATCCGCGTTATTCTGCAGATTTCGAGATCGGATTCGGAATCAGCGAAAAATTCTGCACAAGGTAGGCTTGGTCCCGAACCGAATTTCCATCCTGACCAAAAACACTTTACTGTAAGGCTTATCCTCACCTGTGGTATGGCCGTCACTGCCTTGATCAACGCCGTCTGTCCGGTTTCCGGTCTTGGATAAGTGTGAGGGCCAAATTCCCGACGGTCGATCGACTCGGAGACGGTCGGGATCTAAAACATGTATTAATTATATGTTACTTGCTAGGCTAGGCTTCAGCTTCGGCTCAGGCTTAGGCTTGGCTTAGCCATAGCCCTAACCACACACCTTTCCCCCATAAACATATCTCGCGTCCAGCGCCTCCATATCGAGCGTCACTTCCGCAGGCCGTGCGGAAATGTCGCCATTCTCGTTGAAGACGGCCCGCTTCGGGGGCACCAGCGCCAGGAAGCCGTTCACGTAGCCGAGTTGGTGGTCGATTTCGGTCACGCTTGCTGGAAAGAATTGTTAAAACTGTAAACAAAGCCTAGCCTGAGCTTGTAGTGTGTAGCCCTTAAAACCTACCGGAAGCCATGGTCTCGTTCTGCTCGTAGATGGTGTACGTCTCGTGCATGTTGACGGTGCCGCCAGGCTGAAGGGTGGCACGACGACTCATAACGACCGTCTCGCTGATGGATGGACGAGGGGTGACCTGAAGAGAGAAAAATGACAAGAGAGAGAGAGAGAGCGAGAGAGAGAGGGAACAAGAGAGAGAGAGAGGGAACAAGAGAGAGGGAACAAGAGAGAGAGAGAGCGAGCGAGAGAGAGTGGGAGATGGGAGAGAGAAGCAGAGAAAGAGGGAGAGAGAGCGAGAGAGCGAGAGGGCTCTAAAGCAGGAGAAATCGAGACGCAGGATAGAAAGGGAGCTATAGAGAGCGGGAGAGAGGGTGAAAGCGAGCGAGAGAGAGACAGAGAGAGAGAGAAGCAGAGAAAAACCATATCTCTTACCTGCAACCCTTCTTCAATCCGAACCTGCCGCATCAGCTCCTTCATCGACAAATGGTCCCTAAAACGTTTTAGTAAAACCGAAATTTCCCTGAATTTCCCGATTCCACAATGATCTCTGCTAGCCACCCACTTCACGGCCTCTTCCCGGCTTGTCCTCGCCGTCTCCCATCTCCCCGATTCATCGTAGGCCAGCTCCGCGATCGGGCGATCCAGGGCCAGGGTTGGTTTCGTCTTAAAGGGCCGTTGAAGGGACCGGACACCGTCAAAAACCTCAATCCGTCGTTCTTGCAATCGTCGCACGTAATCGTCGCACTGGATGAAGGCGCTGGTGGACTCGATGGGGTCGGCGGGTTGTTGGGAGAGGCGGCGTGATGCTCCATTGCTCTGAAAAAAGAGGGATGAATGCTCTCTGCTAGCTTGCCCTCGCTTCCTCAATGATCTCTGCCAGTCCGCTTTCGCCTACTCAATGATCTCTGCCAGTCTGCCCTTGAATCCTCAATAGTCTCTGCTAGCCTGCCCCCGCTTCTTTAATGATCTCTTCTAGCCTGCTCTCGATTCCTCAATGATCTCTGCTAGCCAGCCCCCAAAAAATTGTCCCGCCTTATGCGCCACCGCTCCATTCAGCGGCCCAGGTACTGGATTCGCCGTGATGAGATGCGGGTCGTACTTGCCGCTGACGTTGAGCACCTACAATACATAAACTATAAGCCACACCACAACGCACCATCGTTCCCACTTCCGTAGACCTTCGAATCCCTTCCGTGAGCGGCTTCTTCTTGCCGTGGCGGCAACAGCACAGCTGAGCCGACGGGGCCATCCTATGGACGGCCCGGGCGGACAGCAGCGGCTGTAATGTACCATAGTCAAAAAAATACAGAAGATACGGTATGTGGCAGAAAAGAGTTTTTGATGATCAACCGCAATTTTGGTTACGGTTATGGTTCATCGGGAAGAAAAAAAGACACCGTACGCCAAAATCACGAAAACCAAAATGTCGACAACCCAAATCCCGACAAGCGAAAGTTCCGGGGGACAAAATACCGACGGCCAAAATCCCGACAAGGCAAA